GGGGGCCTGGGGGTGCTGGGGGCCTGGGGTGCTGAGGGCCTGGGGGTGCTGGGAGCCCGGGGGGTGCTGGGAGCCCGGGGGGTGCTGGGAGCCCAGGGGGTGCTGGGGGCCCGGGGGTGCTGGGGGCCTGGGGGTGCTGGGGGCCTGGGGGTGCTGGGGGCCCGGGGGGTGCTGGGGGCCTGGGGGTGCTAAGGGCCTGGGGGTGCTGGGGGCCTGGGGTGCTGGGGGCCTGGGGTGCTGGGGGTGCTGGGGGCCTGGGGTGCTGGGGGCCTGGAGGCCTGGGGGTGCTGGGCCGCTCAGCCGAGGGGGGTCACGCCCCTCCCTCCTCGCCCCCCCCCCCGGGGCTGTGCCCGGCAGCCGGCCCTCGGCCCAGCCTCTGTCCTCTGACCTGGCAGGGCCCAGGGGCCGCCCTGCCTGTCACATCCCGTGTCTCCGCTGAGGGAGAGAATCGCAGAGCAAACACATTACTTACGTCCCGCTGCCCGGCACCACGCTCAGGGCGTCCGGGCCTCCCTCCACGGCTCCCCGGATGACCTCCCCAGGGGCCAACGTGGCACCCGGCTGCTGGCCTGGCTCTTCTGGACGCCCACAGAGCAAGGGCCTCGGGGGTGGCCGGACACGCAGGGTGGCGGCTGGGGCAGGGACTCAGACCAGCGCCTTCGAACCAGGGAAAACCGCTCGCTCAGTCCGGGGTGGAGTGCAGCCAGGGGTGGGCAGGCCCTCGGCTGTCTCCTCCTCTCCTGTGTGCCTCTGGCCTGGCCTCAGGAGGACACGGGCACTGGGCCTGGCCACCCCGCCAGCAGGACGGCCATAACCCAGCCACAGCTCAGACCACGGCCACAGTCACCGGTGGGGAGGGGAGAGGGGGTGGACGGATGCCTGTCCCTCAGGGGAAGGCAAGGCCCTGTGCCGGTGAAACGTCAACCGGCTAACTCGTTGGCTGGTCACCCAGCAAAGTCCCCACACAGAGTGTGGGACATGGAGGAGGGGACACGGAGGCTGGACACGGAGGGCGGGACACGGAGGCGGGACACGGAGGCAGGACACAGAGGCAGGACACAGAGGCGGGACACGGAGGGCAGAACACGGAGGGCGGGACACGGAGGCGGGACACGAGGAAGACCAGAGAGGGAGTTGTTTCCCTGAAGCCATGCTGGCCCTTCCACCAGGTTCCCTTCAGCGCAGCAGCCATGCACCGAGGGGGCTCAGTCCCCAGAGCCCCAGCCAGGCACGTGGCTGGAGGGGCACAGTTCCCAGGGTCCCAGCCAGGCACGTGGCCAAGGGTGGGCTTATTCCAGAGCCCACTCTGCCGGCTGCAGGCGGGGCGGCCGTGGAGCCAGGCGGGCCCGTCCTGTGCCTGCCCTGCCGGCTGCCCTCGGGCTGTGCTGTCTCCGCTGAAGCCCTGAGCTATTTCAGCGGAGACAGATTGGCTGAAACCGCCTGGTCCCCCGACTGAATGGGCGAATTGGGATTCATGGGCTCAGCTTCCCGAGGACAAAGATGGCCTGAGCGGCCGACAGAGCCCGCAGCTCAGGGCCATGGAGGCGGCCGCCGCACGCGTGGCCCGCCCGGCGGTGTCATCGCACCGGTGTGTCATCGCGGCTGGCTGTGCGGTGCCCGCGGGTCCGGGCGGCCATTAGGGAATTGTGTAAATCCAATCCCTGCTGAGAGGCAGAGACAGCCCACCGCCCGGGGCAGGGCCGCCACCACTCTGCCCCGCTCCGTGGCCATCAGCCCCTGGCGGGCACGGCTCCGCACTAATCAATTCTCTCCGTAATTGATCGTATATTATTATTGATGAAAGCCCATCTCATGTGTGTTAGGAGGGAGTCGGTTCTCCAAAGATTAGATTTGGACGTGAAAATGGACAGGAACAGGACTGTCTCACTCGTTTGAGAGGTTTTACGGTCTGATGCCCGGTGGGCTGGGACGGGGGGGGCTTTTAGCAGAGGGGAGGGCGGGGGGGGCAAGGAGGGTGGGAAGTGAGGTGGGGGAGCCGGTGGATGTGCCAAGCGGCGCCCAGCAGCCCCAGTGCGCCCTGGGCCCCTCCCAAACTGTCTACCCCTCAGCGAGATGTCCCACCAGTGCTGTCCCTGATGCCCTCAGTCATCTCCGGCTGCTTCTTCTCTGCTTCTAAGGACAGAGATGACAGTCACATAGCATGGAGCTCGCCACTGGACCCATTCGGAGCACGGCTCCTGGCTCAGCACTGCCCAGATGGTGCGCCCTCATCACGGGGCGGGGGAGGGGGGTTTCTAGGCCTTTCCTCCCTCGAGCAGCCACCCCCACCTGCCCACAGCCCTCCCAACACCCCTGTGCCCCACCCATAGCCCCCCAACACCCTCCTTCCCTGCCCGAGCCCTCCCAAGGCCGGCCGCCAGTCTTATGCACGTGACCATTCGCCTATCCCCTGCTGCCTCCGCTCCGGTCTGAGATTTGTGTTTTGTGCGTTTGATCTGTATTTTCCCAGGAAGCCTCTCTGTTGCCGGGTCTCCCGCTTTGCGGCTGCGGTGGCTGCCGTTTCCTCAGCCGCCTCTGGGGTTTGGTTCTGCCTCTTCCCCGTTCCATGGGGCCTGGCGCTCTGCCCCTTCGTCGCTGATGAGATCTGCCTGCTCTGCTTCTCTCTGCAGCGCCGGCTCTGGGTCTGTAACCCAGTTGGTGTGGGTAGTTTGCTGACTGTCCTCTTTCTCCTCTACCACGTCCCTCCTTAAGGCGGCACGTCCATTCCTTCTCCGTCATGTCGGCTCTCAGCACCTGCGTCCCGGGCCCTGCCTCCTGGCGTCCATCGGGGGCTGCCTGCCCACTGCCCTCAGGGAGCTTCCAGTCTCCGGTTTACTCCTGTCCACGCCGAGGGGGCGGTGTGGGCCTAACATCTCCCAAACTCCACGCTCCTTTTACAGGGAAGGAGACCTTCCTTTTAGCAGCACAGTCCCACCCCCATAAAAGTACAACTCCCAGCATGCCTAGAGCTGGGCCTGACCATGTGACTGGGTTATGACCAATGGGATGTGAGCAAAAGTGATGGGGGGCAATCATGGGGGACCATGTGGGTGAGGGCACCCCTGGGACTGTGGGGCAGCGGGACCGTGGAGTCTGGGTTCCGCTGCCTGCCCGGCGCCCAGCCCAGTGCCTGGGTTCGAATGGGCTCCCACAGCGTTAACCTGCGGTTCTGTTGGTTCAGAGACAAAGTGTCATTCAAGGGTGCGTTTATTTTCCAAGTGGTAACGGGATGGGAGTGGGGGGGGGGTAAAATTTAATCTATTATTTCTAATTTTTCAAAAATATGGCTAGAGAAAATTTCAACCTTTTAAATTTTTCTTAAGGTTTTTTTTTTTTTTTTTTTTTTTTTTTTTTTTAGCTAAGCACACTATCGATTTTGAGAAATGCTGAAGGGGTCTTGGAAAGAATGCATAATCGCCCGACTGGCATGGCTCAGGGGTTGAGCATCGACCTGGGAACCAGGAGGTCATGGTTGGATTCCTGTTCAGGGCACAGGCCTGGGTTATGGGCTCCATCCCCAGTGTGGGGCGTGCAGGAGGCAGCCAATCAGTGATTCTCTCATCATTGGTGCTTCTATCTCTCTCCCGCTCCCTTCCCCTCTGAAATCAATAAAAATATATATTATTTTTTTAAAAAAAAGAACGCATAATGTGAGGTCAGAAATGTTTTGTGCACACGCTATGAAATTGAGTTTGTGGATGATGTGATTCCATTTCTCTCACGGGATGGCTGCTCTATCCGCTCCGGAGCGGCTCTGAGTAGTGGTGCTGTCAGAACCCCGCTCTCACCCCGTCCTTCTTGTCTCTTCAGTAACTTCATAGAGTCCGCGGCTAAGCTGATTAGCGTGTAGCAGAGTTATTGCTTCATCGATTCACAAACTGTTTAATCCTCCAGCTTGTCTTCCTTTCCCTCCGCTCCGCCTCCTCTGGACTGAAGAGCAACCCTCGCCTTTCTCCCAGCACCCCCTCAGCACCCCCTTTTCAATCCCTCTTTATCCCTGGCCCCCCACACGCTTCCCTGAGCACACACTGCACTGCCCGTTCCTAAACCCCGATCCGTGGTCTCCCCTCTACCAGAGGCTCCGCCCAGGCCCGCGCCTGGGGGAGCATTTTACTGCTCCAGGCCCTCACGCTCTGCCTCCCCGGCCCGGGCTCCCTCGCCCTCCCCTCTGTGCTGCTGCTTGGGTGCTGCTCGGGGGGTGCTGTTCACCCCCTCTCCTCCTCACGCCTGGGAGGGAGCCCCCGCGAGGTCACTGTCCCTCCCCGGCCGGCAGGCCAGGCCCACGTTCTGGGTTGTGACATGAAACTGGAACCGGCGCCCACAGCCACGGCAACCCAGGCAGGCAGGCCCCTCCTGCCAGCCAGGCCGGCTCCCGTGGCTGCAGCCACGGCTCCCGGGAACCCATGACTCCCCCGTCTCCTCGGCCCGGCCCCGCGGCCCCGCCTCTCCCCGGAGCTCTGTCCTGAGTCCATGGTCCTTTGCTCGGACGGGCTCTGGCCATGGACTCCCTGGTCCTCACACATTACGACCTTCAAGGGCCCGATGGGGCTCCAGGTTCTTGCCCGTTCTCCTGCCCTTGAGGCCTTGACCCTGAGGGGCCACCTGCTGCCCCCTCCCCCCCCCCCCAGCCAGCACCTGACCTTCCCCCCTCCCAGCATCCCACCTCCCCACCCTCCCAGACACACAGCCCCTGCGGCAGGGCACAGCCTCTGCTCCGCTCGGCCGGCACCACCCCTCATGGCGTGGCCGTGGCCGTGGTCGTGCCGTGGGCTCGTTCTGTAAAGCAGAGGCCCCTGCTTTGGGACCGTGCACAGACGTGGGAATGGCAGCCTGGTAGCGGCCACCAGGGGGCCTCCCTCGGCAGGCCCTCACACAGCAGGCTTGTCAGGAGATAGAAGACTTTAATGAAGTGACGGAGGCTCTCCACTGGAGGCCAGGAGCCAGAGCGGGAGCCGGGGCTCCGGGCCGTGGCCGTGACGGGCTCGCGTGGCCCGGCAGCCCTAGTACTTGAGCAGCCAGCGCGGCTTGTGCTGGCTCAGCGCCGTGAAGTAGGACCACCACCAGGGCTTGCCGCCGGCCCCGGGCGGCCTCCGCCGCGGCTCCTGGCCCGGCTCCTCGGGCGCCGGGTGCGGGCCGGCGCCTCCCGGCGGGTCCCGGGTCCCGGGCCTGCCCCGCCGAGGCCCCTGCAGGACCTTTGTGGGCCCGGTCCCCAGGGGCTGCAGGATGAAGTCCACGCGGCCGGCCCTCCGCAGCCGGGCGGGGATGGTGACCCTCTTGATGACCTTGGCGTAGCCCGGGGCCTGGGCGATGACGATGTGGGTGCCCGGGGGCAGCAGCCGCCAGTAGTCGCCATCCGGGGCTGGTGGCCAAGAGGAGGAGATAGACTCAGGCCTGGGCTCAGAGGCCCCCTGAGGGGGGTGTGGGGATGGGAGTCCGTGGGGGGGTGGCCTGGAGTCCAGAGAGACCCCCGTTTACCCTGGCCTCGGTGACCACCTGGAATGTTCCTCCCACCCCCTCCCTCTATCAGGCTCCTATTCATCCCTCAAAACCCTGCCAAGGCACCACCTCCTCTCTGACGCCTTCCCGGACCATCCCCGCCCTCTGTCCCCACACCCCACTGTTCCCCTCGCTCCCTCCTCTGGACCAGGTGACACGGCACAGGGCATCACCGATCTCCACTCCGCTGTGGAGCCCGGGACATGGAGCCCACCCTGGACGGCCAGTGTCAGGGGGACGGGAGCTCTGGGACGGGAGCGCAGGCCCCTGGCTGGAGGCCTCGCCCCGTGGGGCCTGAGAGGCGGCTTTCCCGCAGCCGTTTCCCCAGGAGCAGGGAGCAGCCGGCCCTGAGCGTGTCTCCGGGCCGGATGCCGCAGGAGACACAGCCGGCGGAGAGCAGAGGGGCGCACCCTCACCGCCAGGCGGGCGGAGGATGGGCTAGGTCGTCCCGAGGTGGGGGACCCCGAGAGCTCCCGGGAGCCGGGGCCAGGACGCGGGCGCTCACCTGCGGTGATGTCGTGGCGAATCCCCTTGACCGAAATGCGGGCGTTCTTGACCGGCTTGCCGAACTTGTCCATCACCACCCCTTTGATGCCCCGGTGCGCCTGCCGGGCGGAGAGGAGGGGTGGGTGTGGCCGCCCAGCCGGGCCCCATCTCTCCCCAGAGCCTGGGGTCTCAGTGGGCTCGGCCACCCCTCACGCTGCCCGCTTGAGCCAGCCGCTCCCCTCTCTGGGCCTCGGGGTCCGCGTCTGAGAAGTGAGGGCGACCTGGGCCCATGTGGGCAGGCAGCCCGGCCGGGGTCTGCGAACGGCCCGCAGGCCCACAGAGCGTCCGGCAGACGTTCTGGCCGCGGCCCCGCGCAGAGCCCTCTGCCCAGGCAACCCCGCCAGCACCGGGGCCGGGCGGGTCTGAGCTCCTAAAGGCACGCGGACACCGGAAGGACACGGGCCGAGATTTGGGTGCTGGTGTCAGCCTCTGACCTTGGGCATGCTGGTCTGTGACCTTGGGCAACTACCTGCCACCTGTAAGGCAGGGCCATGCGCTGCAGGGAGCAATACGGACCGCCCAGGGCGGGCACGGGCCTGCCTCCCGCTGTGCACAGGCCTGAGCATGCCCACGGCCGTCCTGGGGCAGCAGGAGGCTGGGGCAAGGCTCTTCCTGAAGCAAAGTCCCTCCCAGAACCGCCCTCCTGCCAGCACGGCTCCTGGGAAGACAGTGGCCGGGACAATCAGGCACCTGCTCTGTCGCTGAAAACACGGGTCCGCGGGCCACGTCGCGTGAGGCCGGGACCACGGGGTGGGAGAGGAAACCACGCCGTGAGGCTGTCTCCCAGGAGGCCGTCGTCCCCCCCACCCCCGCCCCCGACACAGAGCGGCCCCCGCTCAGCTCCCTCTCCTGGCAGCTCCTCTCCCCTTCCAGACAGGGCACATAGGCCTCCTCCTCCAGGAAGCCCTCCCTGACCGGCCACCACAGGGGCCGCCCCTGGTGTCCACGGTCCTGGGCTTCCCTCTCCCAGCCCCAACCTCACGGGAATGCCACGGGCTGCCCTCCCCCCTGCAGCCGACAGCAGCAGCCAGATACATAGTAGGGCCGCATGCAGGGCCAGCTGGCGCTGGCTGGGCTGTTGGTCCGTGCTCTCGGGAGGAACCAGGATGCGGCGCTCTCTGGCAGGGAAGGAGCGATGGTGAGCACCCCTCCCCTCCCGGCTCCCCCCCCCCCCCGCCCCCCTCCCCCAGCTGGAGCCGCCCCTGAGGCCTGGGCAGGATCACTGGGCAGGAGGCCCGAATGGCCCCGACAGGCCGATGCTTATCTCAGGCCGCCGGCCTTCCTGAGGGTCGCCCTCGGGGGCGGCCACGCCCGGCGCTGCCCGGCCTCGCAGACTCTGCTGGCTATTAAATCTTCATCTGCTTCCCAGGCCATCTCCGAGCCAGCCCTGCGCCGTTATTTATTATATAAGCTCGCCTGCACCAGACGGCCGTAAAATGAAACGAGCCGTGATTGAATGAGGGCGCCCCACGCAGCCAGGCCGGCCGTAAAACAGGAGCTCAGCCTGATGACCGGCGTCCAGCTGACCTCTGCGTCCTCTGCCCCAGCCGCTGCCCGCTGCCCGCTGCCCGCTGCCCGCTGCCCGCTGCCCGCTGCCCGCGCGCGCCCAGAGGAAGTTCCTGCTCTCTCTGGAAAGGAGACCATGGGCAGACCTGGGCGCCGGGGCCTGAGCTCACTCTGGGCAGCGCTGGCGACAGTGGACGCCGGGCCCGTCCGCTCTCCTGGCGGTCACACGACCGCCGAGCGCAGGGGCGGGAGCTCGCAGGGCCTCTCCTGGGGATCGAGCCCTCAACCGGGGCCTGTGCCCTTGACCGGGAATCGAACCCAGACCTCCTGGTTCATAGGTCGACACTCAACCACGGAGCCACGCCGGCTGGACAAGTGAGGGGTTATTTTAGCCACGTTCTCCCAGGCCCCACTCACGGCCCACCCAGCTAGTCCTGGGTGAGCGCAGCCCCCTGGTGACAGTGCCCTCCCGTCAGAGGGCGGCGTGCCCCAGGCCCTGGACCACAGAGTCCCTGCTCCCAGAGCCATCGGCCCCTCACTGACCGGCCCTGCCCCAGCTCTCCTTGTCTCGTCGCCTTCCCCTGCTCCTCAGACACAGGCCAGGCCCCGCCTCCTCCAGGCAGCCCCCGGCCTGTGGGCTGGTCAGGTGTTTGCCGTGGCCGCCCAGGCCCCTGGCTCCTCCGTGCTCACGGTGCCCCTAGGCTGAGCGCCTGGCTGTGGGGTGGGGGCCTTTTCCTGCCGGGGGGCCACGTGGTGTTTAGAGCACCTTCGAGGCCACACAGAATCACCACTAAGGTCAGCCGCCGTGTGTGGTCAGCACGTAACTAGCTCACCCCGGGGCCACGCAGGGCCAGACCTAAGGGCTTCGAGGGCCATATAGGACCCTGGTTATAGGGCCTTGGGACCGGACCCTCTGCACTCCTCTATGCAGGGGATCCCCCCCCCCCCCCAACAAAGGCACGCCTCTGGGCGGAGGCCAGTGTGAACCGGGCGCTTAACTAGTAAACAGGTGAACAGTTGCACCCGTGGGCATAGAGCCCGTCATGTGGGTCTGGACCGTGCAGAGGAGGCTGCCCCTGCCACTGCCCCCGGCCCCCAGCCCCTGCCCCCGGCCCCCAGTCCCCGACCCCCGGCCCCCGGCCCCCGGCCCCAGGCCCCAGCCCCTGGCCCCCAGCCCCAGCCCCCGGCCCCCGGCCCCCGCCCCCCGGCCCCCGGCCCCAGCCCCCAGCCCCCGGCCCCCGGCCCCAGCCCCTGGCCCCCGGCCCCCGGCCCCCGGCCCCAGGCCCCAGCCCCTGGCCCCCAGCCCCAGCCCCTGGCCCCCAGCCCCCGGCCCCCAGCCCCCGCCCCCCGGCCCCCGCCCCCCCGGCCCCCAGCCCCAGCCCCCGACCCCCAGCCCCCGCCCCCCGGCCCCAGGCCCCAGCCCCTGGCCCCCAGCCCCAGCCCCTGGCCCCCCGCCCCCCGGCCCCCGGCCCCCAGCCCCTGCCCCCCCGGCCCCCGGCCCCCGCCCCCGGCCCCGGCGGAGCCAGCCGCTCACCATCTCCACGAAGCGCAGCAGCGGCTCCTTGTTGTGCTGCCACAGCCCGTACAGCGCCTCCGCGGGCGGGAACTTCACGCAGCCCAGCTCCACCGTCACCTCAAAGCAGTTGCTGTGCAGGTAGTTGAAGTCGGACATGCCTGCGGCGGCGGCACAGCCGTGAGCGCCACGTCCCAGGCCCGGGCCACCCCCCTCCGGAGACGGGCGGCCGAGGCCGGGCGCTGGGCCCACAGGGCAGGGCGGGTGTGCCGCCCGCGTGGGCGAGGGACCGGCCTCCGCGGCAGAACCCGACACGTGGCCGGGCCCGGGATGGCGACGTCCGCCACCTGCCTGTCCTGGCGACGGCCCCGGGGGCAGCCAGCGGATTGGCGGAGGAGGCTCGAGGCTCCCGGCCGCCAGCTCTCTGAGCAGGGTGGGCCTGCCTCTGAGCCAGGCCCTGACGGCAGCCCTGTGCCCGGAGCAGGGCCTCCTGGGAGCCCTGTGCCCAGTGCCGTGCCAGGGGCTTAGCATCCCAGCCCGCAGTGCAGCACACAGCCCACACCCCACTCCACCCCCCCACACTTCCTCTGGGGAGACCCCAAAGACCAGTCCTGACTGAGATCGGAGCTGGGGGGAGCCGGGCTGCTCTGTCCAGGGGGGAAGCCAGGTGGTGGGGAGCAGGAGGGATGGCCGCACGGTGGGGAACAGGGGGAGCACCCTGCCCATGCAGGAGGGGGACAGGCTTGCGATGCGCCCCAGCTCTGCCACCTCATCGGCCAGTGACACCCGCAGTGAGGGTGGGGGGCCGAGCAGAGGTGGCAGGCAGAGCGCAGAAGCCGTGGCCCAGCCCCGTGGGGCCCCCCACGGCGCAGGGTGTGGGGGGGAGTGCACCCCGCATTGCTCTGCGCCCAGTCCTCCGCAGCTTAAGCAAACAGTGCAGACACCCAGCTCAGGCTGAGTTGTGGAGAATAACGAACGAGTGTGAGTGGATTCCTGCCAACGGCACCGACAGCGCGGCCAACCTTCACCGTTCCCCAAACTCGCCTCCCGGAGACCCTGTCCCATCGGCAGCTGCTGACCTCCGAGGTCAGCACCAGGCGCCCCCGCGGGCCATGGAACAGACCTGCTCCAACCAGGAAGGCAGCGGGGCCCAGGTCTGCCGCCAGCAGCCAGGACTCCCTCCCTTGAGCGGGGTCTCCCCAACAGGGGACCAGGGTGCGGCTCCAGAAAAAGCTGAGGCCAGGGCACCAGCTTCGCCCCAGCCAGGCCCCTCCCTAAGCCCCCTCATCTCAGACCCCTCCCCTTTCCCACCCCAGGCCCCTCCCCTTTCCCCGCCACCCTCTTAGGCCCCTCCCTTTGTCTCACTCACCCCAAGGCCCCTCCCCTTTCTCCCCTCACTCATCTCAGGCCCCTCCCCTTTCCCCGCCCACCCTCAGGCCCCTCCCCTTCGCCCGCCCACCCTCTCAGGCCCCTCCCTTTTCCCCGCCTACCCTCCCAGGCCCCGCCCCGCCCTTGCCCCAGGGCCCACCTCCGGTGAAGCTGTACCAGTCCGCCCCGTTGATGACGCTGCCCCTCTTCAGGAAGTTGCCCCCACACCTGTTCTCCGACTTGTCCATCATCATGGGGTGGGCGTCCGCATAGGCTCTGGCCAGCAGCTTGAACATCTGGAGAGGAGCGCGAGAAGAGGCTCCCCAAGGCCCTCTAGGGTGGGGGTAGGACGCCCCCAGGGGGCCGTGCTCTGTAGGCCCCCGGAGCCCGGGGGTGGAAGGGCCCCCACACGGACACCGGCAGTAAGACAGGGGGCTGTCCTCGCCGGGGGCACAGCGTGTGCGAAGACAGCCCAGGCAGCCGAGGCCAGCGCCCCGGAGCCCGCCCCCACCCGGGCACGTAGGGCACAGCACAGAGCTGGCACCCCTGCGGCCTGGGCAGCGCTGCCCCCGGGGTTGGCACCTGAGCTACTGAGGGGTCAGCGCGGGCAGCAGGTGTCAGGAGCGAGGGCAGCGCCTCCCCCAGCCCCTCCCCCTCAACACAACAGGAAGGGACCACTCCTACCCCTTCCGACCAGCCTATGATCCCCGGTGCCAGGCCGCCAGGCCGGGAAGGGACCCAGGCAGGGGGGCGGGGAGCCTGGGGGGATGTCAATCTCACAGGCCTCGCCCGCCCGCTGCGGGGAGGACTAGTGAGGGCAGAGAGGCCGGGAGAGGAGGACCCTTTTAGGCCCAGGTGATGCTGGTGCCCGGATTCCTCCCCATCCTTCCACCCAAGGCCCACAGGCGGTGTCATGAGCGTGGCAGCACTGCCCTCTGCGGGCGGCTCCTGGAACTGCCCTCCGGTGGACAGGACACACCAGGGGCCTGGAGGAGAGTGGGGGGCAGTGGCCACAGGGCCCACCAGGGGCTCGGGCCTGGGCACTGACAAAGCAGGGGCTGTGTCTGCTGGGCCGGAAGGCTCCCCGGAGGGGGTGTGGGGCTGAACTGGGAAGGCTCCTCGGATCCGGGACTCTGGGCTCAGAACACTGGCCACCCCAGGCCCTGAGAGCTTCCCTGCACCCCCCGCGTGCCTACCCTCCCGGCGCCCCGCACAGCTCCCCCTGCGCCCCCTGCACGCCCACCCGCCCGGCCCCGCACCTTCTCGTCGGGCGTGGGGGAGAACATCTTCTCCTCGTGGGGGGGCCGGGAGAAGTCGAAGGGGTAGGACACCACCAGGTCGCCCCCGTGCAGGCTGGCCGAGAGCACGAAGGGCGCGGTCCGCATCCACTTCATGACGGCCTTCGTTTCGGGGGCCACCTGCGATGGGGGGGCTCAGACAGGACACCCTGCTGCCCGCGTGGGGTGACCACCCCTCCAGGCAGCCCCCGGCCTGCCCTGCGCCCGCCCTGCTCCCTCCCTGCACCCTGCCCTGCACCTGCCCTGCATCCCGCCCTGCATCCTCCCTGCACCCTGCCCTGCACCCGCCTGCTCTGTGCTCCCCACGCAGGCCCAGCGAGGAGCTGACCCCCAGGGCCAGGCTGTCCCGCCCAGGTCCCCCGTCCGGCAGGCACCGCCCTGAGGTCCTGGGTCTCTGAGCCCCCCCCCTCCCCCGTGCCACCTGGCCGGAGGGCGGCCCCTACCTTCCCCCACCAGTAGTGCGGCGGGATGGCCAGGTGGTCGGTGCGCGTGCCGCGGGCGGACACCAGGCGGTAGAACTCGGAGGTGAGGTCCGGGAAGTTGCGGTTCAGGTCCAGGTTCTGTGCATTCTGCCTTCCACTCGTCCATCCGTTGTAGCCAGCACCCTGGAACACAGGCCCCCCTGAATACAGGCCCCCCTAAACACAGGCCACCCCAAACACAGCCCTCCCAAACCACAAGCCCCCCTGAATACAGGCCCCCCCAAACCACAGGCCCCTCTAATACAGGCCCCCCTGAATACAGGCCCCCCAAACCACAGCCCCCCCTAAATACAAGCCCCCCTAAACACAGGCCACCCCAAACACAGATCCCCCAAACCACAGGCCCCCTCAAACACAGGCCCCCCAAACACATCCCCCCAAACCACAGCCCCCCCTAAATACAAGCCCCCCTAAACACAGGCCACCCCAAACACAGATCCCCCAAACCACAGGCCCCCTCAAACACAGGCCCCCCAAACACATCCCCCCAAACCATAGGCCCCCCTAATACAAGCCTCCCCAAACACAGACCCCCCCAAACCATAGGCCCCCCTAATACAGGCCACCCTGAAACACAAACCACCCCAAACACGGACCCCCTGGCTATGGCCAGCGCCCCGCCCTGCTCCTTTGGAGGCGCTGTGGCTTCTCTGGTTTACCTGGTGAGCTTGGGAGCATGTCCACACTGACCTCTGCCCTCTCTCCGGCCCCTCCCACCCGGCCTCCTGCTGACCTCCAACCTCAGAGCTGGCACTGGCTGTTTCCCCTGCCTGGAGGGCCCCCCACCGCTGTGCACTGCTCCCCCCTCCTAGGGCCCCCCCACCGCTGTGCACTGCTCCCCCCTCCTGCAGGTCTGAGAGCCACAGCCTCCAGTCAGCCCACTCGCCCTCCCGACCCCCTTTCCCATCTTCCGTTCTCTCCGGAGCGACCACCTCTGTGACATAGCATCGATTCTCAGCATCTGTCCCTCTGCCCGGGCAGGACCCGCCAAAGCTGCGGCCCTGAATTCCCGTCCCCCGCCCCGGACACCCAGACTGCCCCCCCTCCCTACACACACACACACTGCGGACAGCCGGACCCCCGTCCCCGGCCCGGGACACCCAGATCGCCCCCCCCTCCCTACACACACACACTGCGGACGGCCGGACCCCCGTCCCCCGCCCGGGACACCCAGACACCCCCCCCTCCCTACACACACACACACACACACACACACACACACACTGCGGACGGCCGGATTCCCATCCCCCGCCCGGGGCACACAGATCCCCCACCACCACACACACACACACACTGCGGACGGCCGGATTCCCGTCCCCCGCCCGGGGCACACAGACCGCCCCCCCCCCTCCCTACACACACACACACACACACACACACACACACACTGCGGACGGCCGGATTCCCGTCCCCCGCCCGGGGCACACAGACCCCCCCCCCCCACCACACACACACACACACACACTGCGGACGGGCCGGAGCACGCGTTCACCTCGGCGGCCGCCACCTCGTAGCCGTCGGGGTTGAGGGAGGGCAGCAGGTGGATGCGCGTGGTGTTGAGCAGGCGCTGCACGCGGGCGCTGCCCAGCAGGTACTCGGCGCACAGGTACTGCGCCAGGTAGATGAGCAGCTCCCGGCCCGCCACCTCGTTGCCATGGATGTTGCCGATGAGCTTCACCTCGGGCTCCACTGGGGGGACAGGGACCCTCAGCCGGCGGCCCTGGCGGCGGCCATGTTCGGGACCCGCTAGACTGTGCTGGCCCGGCTGGAGCCGGCCAATGCGGGCTCCTTAGGGTCATCGCTCTGTCTGTACAAGTGTCACCGACAGCCGTGCCTTAGTTTGTGTAATTAAGGTCTGCTTTGTGCTTAGTGGGCAGGCAGACAGCCAGTGAGTGATGGGAAAGATGAAAAGAAGGAGGAAGGAAGGAAGGAAAGGTGACTGGGAAGGTAAATGTGTGGATGAGTGGATTAATAAGTGGATGTTGGATGGGCGGGTGGATGGATGGGTGTATAGGCAGAAAAATGGATGGATGAACAGGTGAACAGATGGATAGATGAGCAGATGGATGAAAGGAAGGATGGGCAGGGCAGATGGATGGCTAGGTGGATGAATGAATGGATGGATGAACATGTGGGTGAGTGGATAGATGGGTGAATGGATGGGTGGACGGACAGACAGATGGATAGACAGATGGACAGACAGATGGATGGGTGGGTGGGTGGATGGATAGATGGGTAGGTGGGTGAATGGATGTGTAGATGGATGCATGGATGGATGGGTGGATGAATGGGTAGGTGGGTGGATGAATGAAGGAATGGATGGATGTGTGGATGGATGGTTGGGTAGGTGATTGGATGGGTGGGTGGATGGAAGGGTGGATGGATGAAGGTGTGGATGGATGGGTGGGTAGATAAACAGGTGGATGGATGAAGGTGTGGATGGATGGGTGGGTGGATGGATGGGATGGATGGATGGGTGGATGGATAGATGGATGAAGGGATGAAGGGATAGATGGGGTGGGTGGATGAAGGGGTGGATGTGTGGGTGGGTGGATGGATGAATGCTGGGAAAAGGTAGACCAGGAGCCTGGCAGTCTCACTCGCTGTGGGGCCTGGGGCCAGCCACTGCTCTCTGACCTCACTAACTCCTCTGGAAAATGGTCTCCCTCCTGGCTGTGTGCGGCCCCGGCCTTGGGCTGTGGGAGCAAACCCTCATGCTCCTCCGAGTGCAGAGTGTGGAGGACCTGGGTGTCCATGGGCACGGCCCCTGGCCGCCCGCACAGGGCACCCTCACCCACACATCCCTGCGCTGGCGGGAGGGGCAGGTGGGCATCGGAGGCTCGGCTGCGTGATCTCTGACCCTGTTCTGGCTGCCCATGCCTAAGGAGGAAGGCTGGACTGAGGGCGGCCAGCACAGCACGGTGCCAGCTGCTTGATGAGATGAGGGTGTTTGTTGGTGACGTATGAGAACTGAGGGCTCAGAGGGGCCTGCCGGGCTGGGGACAGACGAGCTGAGGCCGGGCCAGGCCCTGTGCTCGATGCCCCATGCCCAGGGAGTGGGGTGCCCGGGGAGTGGGGGTGCCCGGGGAGTGGGGGCGCCCGGGGAGTGGGGGCGCCCGGGGAGTGGGGTGCCCGGGGAGTGGGGACCCCGGGGAATGGGGACCCCGGGGAGTGGGGTGCCCGGGGAGTGGGGTGCCCGGGGAGTGGGGACCCCGGGGAGTGGGGACCCCGGGGAGTGGGGACCCCGGGGAGTGGGGGCGCCTGGGGAGTGGGGGAGCCCGGGGAGTGGGGTGCCCGGGGAGTGGGGACCCCGGGGAGTGGGGTGCCCGGGGAGTGGGGACCCCGGGGAGTGGGGCGCCCGGGGAGTGGGGTGCCGGGGAGTGGGGACCCCGGGGAGTGGGGACCCCGGGGAGTGGGGCGCCTGGGGAGTGGGGACCCCGGGGAGTGGGGAGCCCGGGGAGTGGGGGCGCCTGGGGAGTGGGGGCGCCCGGGGAGTGGGGTGCCCGGGGAGTGGGGACCCCGGGGAGTGGGGTGCCCGGGGAGTGGGGACCCCGGGGAGTGGGGGCGCCCGGGGAGTGGGGTGCCCGGGGAGTGGGGACCCCGGGGAGTGGGGTGCCCGGGGAGTGGGGTGTCCGGGGAGTGGGGACCCCGGGGAGTGGGGACCCCGGGGAGTGGGGTGCCCGGGGAGTGGGGTGCCCGGGGAGTGGGGACCCCGGGGAGTGGGGTGCCCGGGGAGTGGGGACTCCGGGGAGTGGGGACCCCGGGGAATGGGGACCCCGGGGAGTGGGGTGCCCGGCAGAGGCAGGCTTACTCAGCTCGTGCTGGCCGGGGCGGCCCGAGAACTCGATGACCAGCAGCTCCCGGCCCTCGAAGCTGCGGCCGATGCTGTAGGTGCGGGCGACGTGGGGGCAGCGGGCGGCCGTCCTCCTCAGCACCCGCGCCATCTGCGCGTACGAGTGGTGACTGAAGTCCACGAAGCTCGGCGGCAGCCCGGACGGCGGCGCCTCCCCCTCGTCCAGGCCCCCTGGGGAGAGCGGCGCGGTCAGCCCGGCCCGGCTGCCCCGGCGGCTCTGTCCGCCCGGCCCGACCCGGCCCAGGCCCCCGGCCCGCAGCCCAGCCCCAGTGCAGCCGGCCCGCCCGCGGTGTGGAGTGAGAACCCGCTAGCTCTCAGCGCCGCGGCCGGCCAGCGCCCGGCAGTGAATCAAACACACGGTGCTGGCGGCTGTGAATGCAGGGACCGGTCACCACCTGGGAATGTTCCAGAACAGAGCATGGAGGACAGACCCAGCGCCCTCACCCGGGACACCTGCTGCTTGTCCTGCAGCCTCTGGTGTGCGTCCGCTTCCCAGGAGTACCTGCTGTGACCCCACCCACTGCGACCCCCTGTGACCCCACAGTGACCTCTGTCCATGCTGGTTCCCACTTGCTGTGACCTCTGCCCCCGGCTATGATCCACCTGCTGTGACCCCTGTCCACGTGAGTCCCCCGTGCCCAACCAAGTCCCTGAAGGCTGGTCCCAGGAGGGCTAGTGGTTAGCGCTTCTCCCTGAGTCTCACCTCCCTGGGGTTTGGCTTCTGCTCAAAATGGTTTCAAGGAGAAAGAAAGAGGGCGGAACCGGCAATTTGGCGGCAGAGTTGCCCAAAATAATCTCGTTCAGGCCCAGTCCCCGGCTTTCCCAACCGGCACAGCCCTCAGCGTCTGGCTTCCTTCCTCTGGTTCCTGCCGGCTGCCTCGGGCGTCCCTGCCTCTGCACACCCAGCGCAGCCCCGGGACCTGCTCCTGCGTGACAGCCCCTGGCGGAGGGACCCCACTGGGGCGGCCCCTCGGCAGGGAGGGCAGAGCCGGGGCAGCCCAGGTACAGCTGCCCTCCACGTCCTGGTACGAGCCCCAGCAGGTGCTCCAGGCCCGCCCACCCAGCAGCCGTCTGTTCCCCCCTGCACCCTGGGGTGGTGGCCAACACTCAGCCCAAGTCACAGGGCCTCCCCGTGGCTTCGTGGCGTGAGCAGCGGGGCCAGAGCAGAGGTCCCGCACGTCCAGCGCCATGCACCGGCCGCGCGGGGCTACCTGTGCTTCTGCTTAACTCAGTTAAAACGAAACAAAGGCTTAGACCCGCTGCCCGTCAGCCACTCTCTCAGCTCAGGGCCACGCTGACAATGGGATCCGGCCGGGGTGGCCCAGAGCTTCAGCTCCTGCCCCTCAACACCACCGCCGGGAAGCCCTCCAGGACTTCCCCCCCAGCTCCGGAGACCGGTGCTCGCCAGCGCCCAGGGCTGCCCACCCCCTCTGCTGTGTCCACCGAGGAGCCAGAGCCCTCTCCGCAGGCCCTTCCCCAGCTGCCTTCAGCCCCGGACAGCATCCTCTGTGCCTTCCTTCAGGGTCCGCCTCAGGCAGGGACTGGCCTGCAGGGTCACGCCCTCCCCACGCCAGCCTGGAGCACAGCCCTGGAGCACCGAGGGGGGGGGGCGGGCAGCGGGGGCTGCAGTCCAGCCCCGCCCCCAGCCGTGCTCTGACCACATCTGCCCTCCTGCTCTGCCCCAGCTGATGACCCCCGCCCTCTGCTCAGTGTCCTGTTGGCCACCTGGACAGCTGACTGCTCAGCCCGGGGGACCCCGCCCCCGCCGCCCCCGCCGCCCCCGCTCCCCGCTCACCTCGCTCCCCCCGCAGCCTCTCCAGGGGGTCGTAGCAGCCCTCCTCCTCATCTCCGAAGTAGCGGGCGCAGTGGAGGAAGTAGGGCCAGGCCATGTCGATGGCGTCGAAGGCGGGCAGGCAGGCCTCCCGCAGGGCCTCGCAGACGCGCCGGCAGGGCCTGGGCGCCCGGCCGCCCTCGCAGCGGGGCGCCAGCACGGCGCAGCCCAGCAGCCGCAGGTCGGGGTTGCACTGGCCCTCCAGCAGGTGGTGCAGCACGCTGAGCAGCACGTACTCGGGGCTGGCCTCCACCGCCTCCCGGGACCGGTGCGCCAGCGGCGTGGGGAAGGCCGTCCGGTTGTAGGCGGCGTCACTGCACGTCCGGAGCTGCAGGTCCACGCACGTGGCTGGGGGGGCAGGGGTCACAGGTCACTCCCTTCCAGGAGGACCCGCACGGAGGGGCCAGCAGGCTGGCCTGGGAGAGGCCGGGCGAGGGCTTCTGCAGAGGAAGCCGGACGGGGGTGGGGGTGAGGGGAGGGTGGGGGGAGGGGGGAGGACCAGGGAAGGCTCCTGACGCCAACTGGCTCTGCCGCTCTCTCCTGAGCGAGCCAGGCCAGCCGCCTGGGCCTCGGCTTCCACATCCGTGAAACGGGCGCAGGAGAGCCAGCCGGGCCGGGGGGTTTGCGGCCTAGGGCACGCCGCCCCCTGCTGTAGGGAGAGAGCAGTCTCCGGCTTAAGGAAAGGTCTGGTCCCTCTGCTGGGAACCGGATGCCGAAGGGGCTGGGGAGACACGGAGAGCGTCTGTTCTCCTGTCAGACACAGGAGAGGGCAGCTCCTCGGGCGCTGGAAGGCAGTGGCCCCGAGCGGGGGTCCCGCCCAGCCCGGGCTCAGGGACCCGGGACCGGGGGAGGGGCTGCTGCTGAGGGCACCGGAGGCTGGCCGGCGGGTGCAGCCCCCCCGGAGGCGGCGAGGGGCCGGTACGGGGCAGGGCTGGCCTGCAGGAGCCGGGCCTGGCGGGGACCAGCCTGGGGCGAGGCCCTCCCTGTCCCTGGGGTCTCGTTTCCAGCCGCTTAGGAAGCACTGGGTGTGGTGGATGGGCCATGCTGCTCATTACACGTCGGAGCCACAGGTTCGGCTCTTTAAGAGGTTTCGATGGGGTCGGGGTCTCCTCGCTCCCACACCCAAGCGGGCAGCCCACGTACGTACGTACCGCTGTCTGTGGCCGACGGCCGGGGGCAGCCGCCTGCAAAGGGAGAGCACCTCGGTGAGGGTGCGGGTCCTGCCGTCAGTCACCCCTGAAACTGGTGCTGGCCCGCCCTCCCCAGGCCTCCCCCTTACCCCCCCCCCACTCGGGCCCCACAGGCTGCATTGCTGTCCTCTCAGCCGCCCTGCCCCCGGGCCCCGCCCCGCCCCCCGCCCCCGCCATGCACAGGTGCGGACACTGAGACACAGGCGTCCGGCGGCCCCAGGAAGGGGGACAGCCAGGGCGTGAGGGGATCCCCAAGCCCAACAGCGTCTGGCAAACCTGCTCCCCAAGGACAGGGTCTGCCCGGCGTCCGCCCGCCGCCCCGGAGCCAATGCCCCCTTCGCTCCATCCTCCAGCCTCCAGAGGCCGCACATCACGTTCATAAACGCCCAACCGTCTGCAAGGGGCCTGCGGAGCCCCACGGGAGTCGGGGTCCCCGGGAGTCGGGGTGCGGGCTCCCTGCCCTCCGGACACTCGGCAGGTGCGGCGTCATCCCGCTCCCTGGGGCGGGGCCTCTTCGCGGAGAACACACAGTATTTAGGGGCTCAGAGGCCCCCTCAAGCAAGGCCCAGGCACGTGGCCCACCGGAGAGACCCTGGGGAGGCCTGTCCACAGCCGCAGCCAGCGCCACCGGCACCGTCAGAGCAGGCCTGCCGGGCCAGGCGGGAAGGCCCCACCCCAGGCAGGAGTCCTGGGAGGGAGGAGGGGCGTGGGTTCAGGGAGGCTGGGGGTGGTTGGGACCAGGGGAGAAGGCCGTGTGCCCTCACCGACCCCGGGTAAGCATGGCGTAGGCAGAGCTCACTTCGCCTGTTTTTAGCGTGGCCACTAGACATGTGAGTTACATGTGACCGCCAGCCAGCATCTCGGAGGCTCAGGTCCACACGGAACCGTTACGCCTCTCGACCACCAGGTGTCAGCGTTTCTTCCACGAGGGATGGGCCGGCCGGGGCTGCCCTACAGACCGAGCTGGGTTCCCCTCCTGCCGGGCCCGCCGCCAGCTCGTGAGAGGACAGAACGGGGGCGGAGAGGTCCAGCCGGCGGCCAAGCCACACGCGAGGGCAGGAGTCAGAGTCTGAGCCCAGGCTGCCGGGTCCCTGGAGCATGGAGTCTCCGCAGACCCCGGCTCCCCATGGCGGCCTGTAGGCCTCCACGGGCCAGGGAGCGAGCGGAGGACAGAGGGTCTGGGCTGGCTTGAGCCCTCGGGCAGGGAGAGGAGGACAGCTCCGTCTGGATATGGGAGCCGAGTTCGACTGCCCGGCCTCCCCAGGCCCGCCTGCAGGGGGCATGCAGCGGCCTCTGGAGTCCGCATGGCACAGAGGGCGGTTCTGGAGGAGGCACTGATGCCAGGAGGAAGGAGGGGGCTGCAGTCCCTCTGGGAAGGCAGGTCAGAGAACGCTTCCCAGAGAGAGAACTCCAACAAGCCTGTGATCCAGACATCGCCGAGGGGTGCAGGCCCTGTGCACGTCCTGTCCACACACACACACACACACACACACACACACACCTGTGTGCCTGGGTCTTTCTGCAGAAACGAGGGAAGGAAGAGGTGAGGGCTCAGGCCAGAGGAGAGAGAACGTTCAGGCTGAGGCCTGGTTGCTCCGGGCACATTCATTGGGCAGGTGCCCGCCCACGCCAGGGGCCCGCCCACTCCAGGGGCACGCCCAGTCCAGGGGCACGCCCAGTCCAGGGACACGCCCACTCCGGGGGCACGCCCACCCCAGAGGCACGCCCACTCCAGGGACACGCCCGCTCCGGTGCACGCCCACTCCGCAAGTGCAGCAAGTGCTCAGACATCCACCTGCCCCTGCCTCCTGGGGGCAGGATGTCTGCTGCTGACCAGGCACGGAGGACAGTGGACTGGATGCAGGAGGGAACAGGCCCACTTCAAGAGGGGGGTGTGGCCCGGGCCCCAAACTCCCAGACACCCCACACCCTCAGACCATACGCAGGCAGACACACACCCCTAACGGGGGTCCCTGGATCCCCTCCCTGACCAGAGTCTCCAGAAGCCCCCACCCCTTCCCAGCCCTCCCTGCCATGGGATCCCCCAGGCGCGGTGCGTGCACTTCCTGCGGTTGTCCTGCCACATCACAGCGAGCAGGGAGGGAGGTCCAGGACACCCTGTTCCTGGAAGGACCGACTCTGACGGCTCCCTTCCCCCTCTCCTGTCCCCCCAAATCCTGGCTCAGGCTCCTTTGCTCCACCTGCAGGTCGCCCCTCGCTATGCCTGAGCAGAGGACCCCACGTGGGGGTACAGTGTCCCTCCGCTGCCCCCAGCTGGCTGCACCCCACACTGGGATCCAGCCTTGAGGTGCAGACCACCAGTCCAAGGCCATGGCCGCCCACTGGCAGTGACCCTGGGCCCTGGGTCGTGCGGTGGGGGAGGGGGTTCCTGGGCGCCCCGTCCCCCCAGGGTGCGGCCAGCCTTACCGGCAGGGTCCCAGGAGGGCTCGCACCCGGGCCAGGCGGCAGCAACCGCCAGCGCGGCCGGGAGCAGCAGCAGCATGGTGGGCGCGGGCGCGTGATGTGGCACTGCAGCTGGGACAGGCGGGCAGGGCGCTCGCTCCCGCCCCCCACGAGCCAGCGAGCGGAGTCGGGTTACAACCAGGCGCCGGGACCGCGGGGAGGGGAGGGGGCGGAGGCCGGAGGGCCAGGCCCTCCACCGCCTGTCCCGCCCCCGGGGACAGAGATGGCGCCCACGGGGGTGTTTCCAGCTCCGACCTGCCAGGCTGCGAGCTGTCTGGGCCAGCGAGGCATGAGCTTCGGGGAGTCCCCAGCTCCGGCTCCACCCCCTGAGGAAGGGAGGGAGGGAGGGAATGGCCGTCCCCTTGCCCACCTGACAGGGTGTGGGGGCCCGAGGGTGGGGGACGGGAGGTCCCCAGAAGGCAGGCAGCCCCCTGTGGCCTGGGCTGCTTGCACCTCGGAGCCTGGCCTCGGTCTGCACCGGGAGGAGCACCCTGGTTGGCGCCCAGCGGGGCCCCGGGCCTGGCATCAGGGCTTCAGAGAAATTGCTGGTCCAAGGGGTGGTGGCACAAGGCTCACTGAGGCGCGTCTCCCCTCACCTCCCAGCCTCCCCCCAGCTGAGGGGGGCGACGTGGAGGGCCAGAGAGCCCATGCAGACAGGCCTGCCTCCACCTCCACCTCCACCTCCACGCGCCCCATTCTCCCCTCCCGCCTGCCTCCCCTCCCCCTGCCATGCCTGCGTCACCCAGCCATCTGGGCAGGAGGCGGGGGGAGGGACGGGGACCCCCGCTCACTGTCTGCCTCTGAAGCCCCTCATGGTGCTGGCCGGGACGGGGGTCCAGGTGTGCACACACCTGCCTACCGGGCCGCCCACAGCCGCAGCCTCCCCAGCCGGGGTGTGCAGCCTGAGCCTGAGGCCAAGGCCGCCAGACGGCGAGGCCCAGCCGCGTCGCGCGCCCAGGGGTCCCCGGAGCCATCGCCATGGGCTTCCTTCACCAGCTGTGCCCGCAGCTGCCCGCAGCCCGAGGCTGGTGCGGTGTGGGACCGGCTGTGGAGAAGGAGGAGGCGGAGGGCTTCCACCCTCCTGGACGCCAGCTGCCATCTCAGCGCCTCCGGAGACCGCTGTCCGGGACCCTCCCGCCCTCCGCCCTCCGCCTCCTCTGAGCTCTGGGTGCCCCAGCCAGTCTCCAGCCCTGCCTCCGGCCGCCTGAGGTTTCGCCCTCACCAAGAGGGAAATCCAGGCCTCCCTCCGTGTACCGGCACAGGTGTCGGTAGCTGTGCCTCCTGCAGGGGTCCAGCTCTGAGCCTGCCGCCTGGGTGCCGGCTCTGTGCCCAGTTACAGCCTCTTTGGGGGGCGGGGGGTTCTGAGTGGCACCTGCAACGCCAACACAGCTCTGCGCAGGCATTTCAGATGCTGTGGGAAGGTCCGTGCCGCTGTGGTTCGCTCTGAAGGCCGGGCGAGAAGAGCCTGGTTGCCCCCTAGGCACCCCTGTGCCCCTCTTTGCCCCCCCTCCCTGCGAAGCCGGAAGGAGCAGCTTGGCCCGGAGGGTGAGTCACAGGGCTCATCCCCCAACAAGGCCCCGGGGTGGGCGAGTCCTCCCCTCCCACCCCCTCTCCTCCAGTCAGCCAGCGGGGAATGGGCCAAGGGGACAGAGCCAGCCCCAAGCAAGATCAGGGGCAGGTGACCTGCAGGAGCCAGTGGACCTGAGCCACTGGGGGCCGGGCGGTGAGCCCACCGTGGCTGCCGTGGACCAGCTGCACGTTCGCGGCAAATCACGGCCGTCTCTGTGCCATGTGCCACTCACCCCTGTGTTCCGCCGCTGGGCACCGCCACTGGGCACCACGGAGACCACATCAGCCCCACAGCCCGCTGAGGCCAGCTCAGGGCCCGCCCTGCACCGGGCATGCTCCCCGCCCTCTCCTCTCTACTCCCCCCCCCCCCCCCCGCCCCCAGGAGCCACATAGTGATGGCGCCTCAGTCTCACACCAGGAGCCACGCCCAGGGGAGACTGGAAGGAACCTTCCAGAACTGCCTGGGGTTGGACTTGTTTGTTTAACTTTTAAAAGCCACCTCCTGCCACACATGCCTGGTTCCCAGGCCCAGCCATAATCACCGCGTTTACTCACATCTTACAGCCTCCTGCCTACAGGGGCCACTAAAGACAGCCCAAGGCAGCGAACAGCGCCTGCAGTTGGACGGACGGACAGACAGAGCTACTGACTGGCGTGCACCGTCTTACCCGGCCCTGGGGTGGGATCCAGGGGCCCCTCAGAGGCCCCTGGCCCTGCTGGCCCCAGGCGTGCTCGCCCTGTGCGGGGCACAGCCTGGCGGCAGGACGCAGGAGGGACCGAGCATCCGCTCCCCCGCCACACGCTCCCTGGGTTCAGCCTGCAACACGCTGGGCCCTCCTGGCCCCAAGCGATGACAGGAGACAGGTGTGCGCAGCCAGACACGCCCCGGGTCCACTCGGCACGTGGCAGTGGCCTCAGCCACCAGGGCCTTGGGGACACTGCTGTGGCCCAGGAAGCGGCCTCTCGCTCCCCCAGGAGTCTGTGGGCGAAAGGAAGGGCTGCACACCTCCTACTGGGGATGTGCCACAACCAAGGGCGCCTGGCTGAGCTGGGGAGGGAGCGCCCCCTCCTGGCCACTGCCCCGACGCCCGTGTTTTGCCCGCAGCTGGAACGCTCCTGACCCCCTTGGGCCTGTGACTCAGAGGCCCGTGTGGCCGTGGGGAGGGCGACACGTCATCGCCAGGAACGGCTGGATCCTCCTGTGAACAAGGACAAGGTGGCAGGCGCAGGCGCCAGGGAGCCCAGCCACGAGCAGCCATGAACAGATGTGGACAGATGTGTCCTCAGTGGCCGGTCGGCCAGGCCAGCCAGGACCTGGTGAACTGCTGGAGGAGCAGGGGTTGGTTCAGCAGCAGCAACCACACATGCACAGACACATGCATGTGCACACACATGTATGTGCACACACATGAACACACATGTGCATGCGCACACATATGAACGCCCATGCTCTAGAAGGTCAGAAGGCCCTCGCACCGCAGACAGGTGTGAACGCCGCCATGCCCGTGCTGGCTGAGCGCTCCCTGCAGGGTCTCTGAGCCTCAGGCTGGAACGCCAGGCTGAGCCGGGACAGGGAGGAGCGGGAAGTCTTGCAGGTGGAATGAGAGAGACGGAGACATAATTAACCAGCCAATCAATCAGGGCGCTCTCAGCCAGCTGGTGAGGCCCAGGCCCTGTCTTCCCTGCCCAGGACACGGGGAGCGAGGAGTGTACACTCCAGACCGTCCGGGCAGCTGGCCTGGGTCCCGCTCCCTCTCAATAATGTCTTCACAAAGGACCTGGCCAGACAGTACCTGCCCCTCCACCCCGCCGCGATGGGTGCCACCGGAGGCCACACCGAGCGCTGAGGGACAGTCCCTCCCCGGGGACCGGCCTGAGGCTCCTGGCCGCCAAGGAGATAAAACCTCCAGACAGGCCTCATGGCCGCTCCCCGGGACCTGCTGCTTTCTCTGAACGCCAAGGCTCCTCACGAGACCTGAGCCGGGGCGCAGAGGGCAGCAGCAGCTTGTCCGGCTCATCTGAGCCTGTCTGCACCCCTTTCTCTGACTTCCCGGGAGCTGACAGCAGCCTGCCCAGCTCGCCCTCCGCGCCTTTCTTTCTCAGGCATCTGGGCAGCCCACGGGGCCACGGCTTCCCCATAAATTTCTGAAAACCAAAGCCCATCCCCCTCCTGTGCTCCTGTCCCGGCCTCCTTGTCTCGCTGTCCCTGTCCATCCGTCCCCTCAGCACCAGCTCGGCTGTGAGGTCTTTCCTGCGCCGAGTCCAGAGCCCACACCGGGCGGTCCGGGCAGAGCCGCTCGGCGGCAGCGCAGACCGGAGCGTGGCGGGTGGAGCTGGCAGCACGGGGCCCGTTGGGGGGCGGGGGAGGAACCCAATCGGAACCTCACAGTCCCGTAGGTGGGTAGGGCTGCGGTTCAGCTGCTGATTGGCCCGGACAGTGCGCCCTGCCCCCCCCCGCCCCCGCCTGCCCCCACCTGTCCCCGGACCTTCTCCCTGGAACGGCCGCGCACAACGGGGCCACGTCCTCCATCTGCGCAGCCTAGAGGCGGGCCGCCTGGAGAGGATCCAGCGCAGCAGAGGCCGGAGCCGCGATGCGTGGAGAAGGGGAGGGCTGGGGCCGCCGAATCTTCCCTGCTTCTCTGGGGCCGCCCTTGGGTTCTATCCACTCAGGAGGGTGTGGATGACGCCCAGGGTGGGGCACACGGACCAGGGCCACCTCCCCGGGCAGTCTGGGGAAGGAGGGGTGGGCCCAGAGGGTGAGACACAGTCACGCTGCCCCCCCGTCCCCGATGCCCTCCCTCCGTGGTGACACCTGCCTGTTCTTGCTGACCAGCGTCTCCTGCCGTCAGAACCAGGAGCCCTTCACGGGGGCCGCCTGGAACTGGGACCCCAGAGGCCTGCCCAGCGGTCGCGTATGGCGTACAGGACAGAGAGGATGAAGGAGCCAGTGAGATGCTGGTCTTTGTGGCGGCCCGTGGAGGCGCGGCCCCTCTCACGGAGGCAGCGCTGCCCCCCCCCCCCCCCGGCTGCGGGAGAGGAGAGGGCAGCAGCCGGGGGCCCGGAGGGCAGGGGAGCCGAGCCCAGAGCCGGAGCCGGACCGGCAGCGCCGGGATGTCCAGCTGGAGAGCCGAGGGGAACAGAGGGACCAGGAGGAGAGGAGGAGCCAGACAACAAACGTGAGGTAAGGTGTGGGGCAGCACAGAGAGAGGCACAGAGGGCAGCCCCCCCCCCCCAGCCCTCACCCTGTCAGTAGCACCCGCAGGGACTCTGTGGGAAAGGCATGCCAAACGGTGACAGACAGAACCGGGGAAACCTCCCAGGGCTGGACACCGTGCGGCCAGCAGGAGTGTTCAGACCCATGTCCCAGGAGGAGCCGGCTGGCTGCCCACACAGCTGGGCGGTGGAACTGACCTCACAGCTGGGCACACCCTCCTGGGTGCGGGCACATGATCCACGGTGAAATGCCCTCCG